CTCTGTGTAACACCTTTATAATAACAATTAAAAATTAAAAAAAATAACCAGCCAGGCACTGGTGGCTCATGCCTGTAACCGTAGTGATACAGAAGGCTGAGATCTGAGGATCAAAGTTTCAAGTCAGCCTGGCCAGGAAAGTCTGTGAAATTCTTTTTTAATAATTTTTATTAAGTGATTACATAAATTTTACAAATTTCACAATATCATAGGATAGTGATACGTAAAGTTACAAACACATTTGTCTATAAAGTTTGTGAATTCTACAAGCTTTGACAGTACAACTATTTCTTCCACATCAGGTGATATGTACATTTCTTTCCTTTTGCTTAGTGTTAGCTGTTTGAGACTCTTAACTCCAATGAATCACTAGGCTGTGGCGCAAGTGGTAGAGGGCTAGCCTTGAGCAAAAGAGCTCAAGACACAACACCCAGGCCCTAAGTTCAAGCCCCATGGCCACCAAAAAAATAAAAAATAAATCACCAAGCCAAGCGCCAGTGACTCACACCTGTAATTCTAGCTACTCAGGAGGCTAAGATCTGAGAGTTGTAGTTTGAATCCAGCCCAACCAGGTAACTCTGTGAGATTATCACCAACTAACCACCAAAAAAGCTAGAAATGGACTTGTGGTTCAAGCCATAGAGCACTAGCTTTGAGAGGGAAAAAAAAAAGCTCAGGGATAGCACCCAGGCCCTGAGTTCAAGCCCCAGAACTGGCACTCTCCTCCCCTCCAAAAAAACAATGGCAAAAGGGGCTGTTGGCATTTGTCAAGTGATAAAAGGGTTCATCTAGTAAATAGGAGATCCTGGGTTCAATCTCCAATATGACAATTATAATAATATCTACCCTTAATGGTACACACACACACACACACACACACACACACACAAATAGATGTTAAATAGCAATCGTTTACAAGGAAAGAAATGTCTGATATTGACCTGTAGGAGAGGTACTTCAGAAGCTCCTAAAGTGGTGGGTGTTTAGCATAGCACATGTAAGGCTGAGGGATCAGTCTTATACACTGCAAATTAAAAAACACATTTAGGGCTGGGAAGGTGGTTCAGTGGCAAAGTGCTTGTCTTGTATGCATGAGGCCCTGGGTTTGATTCCTCAGCATCACATAAACAGAAAAAGTCAGAAGTGGTGCTGTGGCTCAAGTGGTAGAGCACTAGCCTTGAGCTGAAGAGCTGAGGGACAACGCCCAGGCCCAAAATTCAGGCCCCACGACTGACAAAAATAAATAAATAAATAAATACACATATAAAGGATTATAAGCCTAACTTTTCAGATCACATAGACGTTCTCTTGTCTTTGCCTTGTTTTTTGGTGAGTTCCTGTTTGCTATTTCCTGTTCAGGTCTCTGATGGTGCCTTCTAAGTCTGGGCCTTGACTAGATTATTATTAGTTAACCTGCTGCTGCTCTGGTTTCAATTGAGCGTGGCTCCCAAGCACACTAAAATCATCATGATTGTCTTATGAGATGAGAGATTATGAGGAAGGTTTCTTATTTGGTGCCATAACCTCCTCCAGTTTCTTTTTATTTTTCTTAAGCATATTTTATTATCTTTAAGTAGTTGTACAAAGGAGGTACCATTCAATACATTGTGAATACAATGCATCTTAATGCATCATGCATCTTAATGCATCCCTTCCAACCCTTCCCCTCAATCCTACTTCCATAGAATATGCATTGAATATTATGACTGCATTCTCCCCTCTTCCTCTCTTTATTCACCTACCCCCCTCACCTTGTCTGACACTTTTCAAATACTAGTTTCTTGGTATTCGTTTTATGTAGTTTGAATTCTCCCCTTCAAACACTATACTTTGGTTAATACACTTGTCTACACTTGCATATGACCCTGCATTTACTTGTACATCTATAAATTTATTCTTACAAATCTGAGAGAAAACATGCATCTTTTCTCTCTGGGCCTGACTCATTTCACTTAACATATTTTTCCTAACTCTATCTCTATCCATTTCTTTGCAAAATAATGTAATATTCTTCCTAATGGATAAGTAAAATTCCATTGTGTTTATATACATTTTCTTGATCTAATTGTCTATTGAGGAGCATCTGGCCTGTTTCCTTACCTTGGCTATGGTGAATAGTACAGCAATGAACAACAGGGTTGTGTAAGTGGCTTTAGTGTATTCTGGTTTGTAATCTTTAGGATAAATGCCTTAGAATTTTTTTTCTGGAGTCTCCAAACTGCTTACCAGAGTGGTTGAACTACTTTATATTCCCACCAACAGTGTATTACAGTTCCTTTTCCCCCACATCCATGCCAGTATCTGTAGTTTGTATTCCTGATGATGACCATTCTAATACCTTTAGTTACTTTGTTCTGTCTTTTTTTGTGCTGGTCCTGAGATTTGCCTGGGTGCTGTCCCTTAGCTTTTTTTTTTTTTTTTTTTTACCCAAGCTAGCACTTTACCAACTGAGCTACAGCTCTAATTCCAGTTTCTTATTCATTAATTGGGAGATAAGTCTCATTAACTTTCCTGCCCAGGCTGGCTTTGAACTGCAATCCTCAAATCTCCAGAGTAACTAGGATTATAGGTATGAGCCACTAGAGCCTGATGACCAACTTCGACTTCAAGAGTTAAAGTAATTATCTCCAGGGACTCTTTCCTGACCAATTCTGGGTTTGGTGCACTCTCCAGTGCTCTAGTAGCACCTGGTTCTTCCTTATCAAGATACTTACCAGGGCTGGGAAGGTGGCTCAGTGGTAGAGCGCTTGCCTTGCATGCATGAGGCCCTGGGTTCGATTCCTCGGCACCACATAAACAGAAAAAGCCTGAAGTGGTGCTGTGGCTCAAGTGGTAGAGCGCTAGCCTTGAGGTGAAGAGCTGAGGGACAGTGCCCAGGCCCAGAGTTCAGACCCCACGACCAAACCCCCCCCCCCCCAAAAAAAGATACTTACCATACCAAATCTTAGTCATCCATCCCAATGGTACAGGACTTTGTCATACTCTTATCTTCCCAGTATCCAGCACACAATTTGGTTTGTGAAAATGTACTGAGGGGTACACTGAAGGTGTGTGCACTTGCCTGTCTGCTGAATGTGAACTGGATAATGTTGTCACCCTGGCTACTGGGGACACACAGAGGGGGCCTGGAAGGTTGACAGGCGCTCATGTTACTTACAGGTAGAGCCTCCAGCCATTTTTCTCTAGGTGCCCCTTCCTTCTTTTGGGTCCTGCTCATCTCCCCCTGGTGGCAGCTTGTCATAACTGCAGGCCACATGAGCCAGGAGGTGGCTGCCCAGGCATTGTTCCCCAGGTGTCCCTTCCTTCTTTTGGCCCCTGCTTAGCTCCACCTGGTGGTAGCTAATAGCATTGCATGCCTCTTCCCAGGAGGGGGGCTGCAGGGACTTGAGTACAGTGGAGATGGGGAAAGCAAGGGAGGCTTCCCTTACAGGATAGCCCTACCCAGCTCTGCTCTGCTGCTGCACAAATGTCCTCATCTTTTGTATTCTTCCAGACTCAAGATCCACAGAAGTTGAGACTAAAACTTGGCAAGCTTTGGGTTGTATATATGAGAGGCAGAAAACCTCTGCTTAATGTACGTCCAGGTGAAATGGACTAGTCAGACTTGGCTGGGTTGTGTGTCCATGTGTGCACACATGTGTCAGTTCTAGGGTTTCAACTAGGGCCTGGGCACTGTCCCTAAGCTTTTGTGCTCAAGGCTAGTGCTTTAGCACTTGAACCACAGCTCTACTTCTGGCTTTATGTTGCTTTAATTGGAGGTAAGTTTCATGGACTTTCCTGCCCAGGCTGGCTTCAAACGTCTAAGATCTTGGCCTCCTGAGTAGCTAGGATTACAGTGTGAGCCACCAGGTTAAAAAAATAAAACTTTAATTTGTACTAGAGACTAAGCTCAAGGGCACAAGGTTGTTCCACAAGTGCTTGACCACTTGAGTCCCATCCCTAGTCCAAAAATAATGTGAAAAAAAATGAAATAAGCCAGGTGCCACTCACATACTACTACTCAGGAGGCTGAGATTTAAGAATTGTGATCTTCTGTAATGATAGAGCATAAAACCAGGCTCTGGGCTTCTAGAAGCTAATCAGGTGAACGATGTGTCTAATGACCAGAGCTACAAGGGAAAGGAGCGGATTTTACTTCCCAACCTAGGATAATGGCGGGTTATTTTTTACACATGGAACATTTAGCATGAATAAATAGTCTCTAATCTGGATAGTGGGCTCTAGGCCAATAGTACAAAGATATCTTCCCTCAGCATTGTAATTCTGGGGTTAGTGAGGAGCCATCCATTACCAAATTACCGTCTAGGTTTCTTTCCTCTTGTGTTACAAGGAGCTAGTAAGAGATGACAGGAGGGTAAGCCAATAGCAAAGAATGATCTTTTTCTTTAGAATTCCAGGCTAATTCTAATAACCCTCAGGTTATTAAGGGCTCTTCGCCATCAATGCACAAACAAGTCAACATTTCTAGTAGAAAACATTTGAAATTCAACCTGGAAAGAAAACTGAGTAGCAGCCCCCAGCTGAGGGCTGTGGGGACTGACAGCCTAGGTCCAGGCAATCTATGGTTCTAGGCGTGAGGAGAATCTGGTGATGGCTTTTGTCCAATTACAGGTAATTTTCATAACTGAAATTAAATGCCAAACACTGAGGAGTGGATATAAACTACCACATTTGGAAAGAATATGGTTCAAAATTAATAAAACACAGAAACTATTCTCCTTGTATACGTAAATATCTAATTTGGTCCCCAGAAATAAGCAGTAGAGAGCCAACAGACATTATATTTCCTATGATTCCGGTATGGGGCAGAGAATTAATTTTATCTAATCCTCAGCAACCCCAGAATCTTTGTCTTGCAGGTGAATAAAATCACTGCATTATTTTCTGTTGTCTTAAGATAGTTAAGAATTTGGAAACAAAAAAAACCACTGGGAAGCAAGAATTACTTCTAAGCCAAACCTTTGGGAGAGAAATCCGTGTAGATATAATACAGACCCAAATCACACACAAACACTTTTATTAGTTTTCTCTACAACAGACAATAACATCAGTCTTTTAATAACAGATTCTCAGTTCACTTGAGGCCAAATGGATCCAAGGAAAACAAATGAAAATTAAATATTTAAATTAGTTAAAAGGCACTATATAAGATATCAACTAAAACCTACAACCACAGTGGTAGCAGGCTGAAAGATTAAACTACATTATCTAGTGTGAACATTAACAATTACACAGCAGGAAGCAAGATTGTATGGCAAAAGACTACAGTACAATGACTAGTTGGGCCCAAGATGATATTTGGCCAGGAAAAGGTCAAGATAGCTGAATGTAAATCCAAATAGAAAGGAATAGGTACAAAGGAGTATCCAAGCTATACACAGTCAAGCAGATGATGATGATGGATCAGGCTTCTTCCTCCCAAGACATATTTACTAGACTGAGCTACCCTCCATCCTTACTTCAAGATCTTGCCTAACAAATGCTTAAGCTGAACTGCTTGCTTCTGTCTTACAGGGGACTCAACTACCAGGACTAGGTTTGAGGTTGCTCAGACCTGCTTTAAGGTATTAGGCCTTGGAGAATCTATCTCACATAGGCTGGCTTTGTTGCTAGTTACTTGGAACAAAGAAAAAAAACCAATAGTATTCACATGCAAAGGGGTCCAAACTTTGTCAGTCACATTTAAACCACTTTGCAGAACAAGGTCAAAAGTCTGCAAATGTTACAGCAGCTAGGTAATGCTGCAGGGGTTATAAATTATGACCAAGGAAGCCAGGATAAGATAATTCAGGTAGAAAAATCTCAGCAGTTCATCTCAATTTGCCTTTCCCCAAATTAGAATCCACTAACTCTAATATACCATGTGGGATGTAGAAAGCTACACTGGAGCAAGCTAGGTCTTCTGCTAAATTTTTCAAATACTAAGAGAAACCAAGGGAGAACAAGGGGTGGGGTTAACTTCAGTTTTAAAAAGCCTCAGAAGTTATTCTATTATAAAGGGACATGGCTGAACAGGTAAGAAACAGATTCTCCATTGTGAGTTCTCCTGATGGCTTCTGCAAGGATCATAGAGATGTCGATCACCTATAAAAATAAGAAAGGTAGTACTTAGGGGCAGAGCTAAATAGCCCATCTGTAGCCTGGGCTGGTGAACAGGCAAGTAAGTGCTCTCCCTCAAAAGCCTACACTCAGCTATATTTTTTTTTTAATTTTTTTTGGGGGGTGGGTGGCTTGAACTCTGGGCGTGGGCACTGTCCCTCAGCTCTTCAGCTCAAAGCGAGCACTACCACCTGAGCCACAGCCACAGCACCACTTAGGTTTTCTGGTGGTTAATTGGAGATAAGAGTATCACAGACTTTCCTTGCCCAGGCTAACTTTGAACCATGATTCTCAGATCTCAGCCTCCCGAGTAGCTAGGATTACAGGCATGAGCCACCGGTGCCCAGCTCTACATTTTCTAATATGTTTTACTATAACCACTTAGGAAAGTGGTCAAATTACCAATGATGGAGGAAAAAATCTTGATTCAGGCACATCAAAATGGTGATTCCCCTTCTCAAGGGGATCTTCAGAATTCAGCTATCTAATTCAATGTTATGTAATAACCTACTAAATTCTTGGCCTTGCTATTCATATCCTCACCTGTATTTTGGAGCAATGCTTCATCTTGTCCTCCTGAGGTATAGTGTTGGTGACTACAACTGCTTCAAAGCAGGCATTGTTGATGCGAGAAATGGCTGGGCCAGAAAAGATTCCATGAGTCAAGATTGCATAAACTCTGGTGGCTCCAGCTGAGAGAAGTCTAGAGGAGAAACAGTTGATTTGGATTAATCTTACATGTCATATTGAATAAAGCAAAAGAGGAACATATTAGTCTATCATAACAAAATACAATAGACTGGGTAGATTAAGCAGACTTATTTCTTACAATTCTGGAGGCTGGCAAATCCAAGGTCAAGGTCCATTTCAGTTTTTTTAACCTCAAGGTGGAGCCTCCTTGCTGTGTGCTTTTACAACCTCTTGAACACACACCAGGACAGTGCCAGCAAGCTCTCTAGCAGTTTCTTCTCATAAGGGCACTAAGTTCGTCAAGAGACCTCTGCCATGGCAGACATCATTTACATCAAAATAGCTCTCACAGGCAATCTCCAAATCCCATCAGATTTGGGGCTATGGCTCCACAGGAGGATTCAAAGGATTCTGTAAGAACACATTCTGTCCTTACTAAGGAGAGAAATCTACACTAAGCTACCTCTTGGCAGAAGTTACAACCATTTTCCTTAGTAAGCCTCTGTTCTTTTCCCTTACTAGAGAAAAAGTCTGAGCCCCTGAAAGTGAGTGCAAGCAACAATATTTGCAGTGGGTTGTGCCATGAAGTGATAGAAACTATCGTGGTAAGCTGCTGTCACTGTAAGCAATTGATCTGTTACAATTAGTACATCAATTACCTAACTAATAAAGGATAAATCAACTTTAAAAATGTAAGTAAAGTGTTTGCTTCGGCAGCACATATACTAAAATTGGAACGATACAGAGAAGATTAGCATGGCCCCTGCGCAAGGATGACACGCAAATTCGTGAAGCGTTCCATATTTAAAAAAAAAAAAAAATGTAAGTAAACTCAAGGATCTAAGCCAGGAATCACAACACCTAAATACATTTTTCAAACTTTTCTTTGCCAGTACAAGGGGGCTTGAACTCATGGCCTCATGTTTGCTCAGCTTGCTCACTCACAGTTGGCACCTCCATTCTTGCTTTTTGCTGATTAATTGGAAATGGAGTTTTACGGACATTTTTTGCTGCCCAGGTTGGCTTTGAACCCCAATTCCTCGTGTGTGACTTCTCAGTAGTGAGAATTATAGGCTTGAGCCACTAGTACTTGGCTAGTTTTGGCACTTTTTATATACTGGTCACAGATATTCAGGAGTTTTACAAAACCACACAGAAGCTGGGCACTGGTGGCTCATGCTTGTAATTGTGGCTACTCAGGAGGCTGATATCTGAGGATTGTGGTTCAAAACCAGCCTAGGCAGGAAAGTCCGTGAAACTCTTATCTCCAATAAACCACCAGAAATCAGACATGGCGCTGTGGCTCAAGTGGTAGGGCATTAGCCTTAAGCTGAAGAGCTGATGGGTAGCACCCAGGCCCAGAGTTCAAGACCTACAACTGACCAAAAACAACAACAAAACACAGAGGGGGCATGGTGGTGGATACCTGTAGTCCTAAAACTTGGGAGGTTGAGGCAGAGCCGAGTAAGTCTTCCCTAGACTAAGAATCTTGACTGCCTCAAAAAATTCTGGGCATAGTTGTTCATGCCTATAATTCCATGCACATGGAAGTAGAGATCAGGAGGATTACTGCTTAAAAACAAGTTTGAGCTGGGTGCTGGTGGCTCATGCCTGTAATCCTAGCTACTCAGGAGGCTGAGATCTGAGGATCACTGTTCAAAGCCAGCCCTGGCAGGAAAGTCCATGAGACTCTTATCTCCAATAAACCACTAGAAAACTGGAAGTGGCACTGTGGCTCAAGTGGTAGGGTGTTCACCTTGAGCTGAAGAGTTCAGGGACAGCACCCAAGCCCAGAGTTCAAGCCCTATGACCAACCCCCCCCCCAAAAAAAAGAACAAGTTTGAGCAATCTCATCTCAAACAATAGCTGGGTGTGGTAGGGATCCATCTGTCATTCTAGCTACTTACTACTAGCTACTTGCAAAGCTGATAATTGGGATATTCTAGGTTCCAGGCTAGCCTGGGGAAATGTTATCAAGACCTTATATCAGTCTTAGTAGAGTGTGCCTGTGATCCCAATTATATAGGAGAGAATTGGGTGCATGGTTCAAATTGTAGAGTGCCTGTTCAGCAAGAGCAAGGTAGTGTTCAAACTCTAGTACCTAAAAGAAAAAAAATAGCTATATAGGACGGTCATTCATAAGTAGGAGGATCACAGTCCAAGGCTGTCCTGGGCAAAACTTAAGACTATCTGAAAAATAAAACAAATGCTAGGGGATTGACTCAGATAGTAGGGTGCCACCTAGTAAGCACAAAACCCCAGAATTCAAAACCTTAGCACTGCAAAAAAAAAGGTACCAAAATCATAGAACATTTTAACAAACAATGCAGCCCACTGTGGGCTGAATTGTAGGCAATAGGTGGAGTGAAGCCTAGCTAGTTTTAGGAAGATTAGTAAGTACAAAGCTAATGAATATACGGGGCTGGGAAGGTGGCTCAGTGGTAGAGTGCTTGCCTTGCATGCATGAGGCCCTGGGTTCGATTCCTCAGCACCACATAGCAGAAAAAGCTGGAAGTGGCACTGTGGCTCAAGTGGTAGAGCACTAGCCTTGAGCTGAAGAGCTGAGGGACAGTGCTCAGGCCCAGAGTTCAGGCCCCACAACTGGCAAAAAAAAAAAGCTAATGAATATGTTAAACTAGGGAAGCAAGAGACTGGTGACTGGCATGAAGTAAGTATTATTTTTTAAAGTGCCAGGTAAAGTAGTCATGAGGTTAAGATGAAGGATGGCACCAGCAGAGCTCTTATGCCTGTAATACGAACTACTCAAGAAGCTGAGATATAAGACCTTGAGACTCTTATCTCCAGTTAACAACCAAAAAGCTGGAATGGAAGCTGTGGCTCAAGTGGTACAGTGCCAGCTGAGAGTGGAAAAGGAAAGGTAAATGACAGCATGAGGTCCTGAGTTCAAATCCCATTACTGGCAGTTATCCCTTCAAATTCTGTTCTAAAAAACTACCTTTCTCCCTTTAATTCTATTCCAAAAAGAAATCAGCCAGCTGTAATCATTCAGAGAGCAGTTAGGTTTTTGCTTCTAATCATCAGCCCCATAACATACTTGTCAGCTGCATGGCAGATTGTGCCACAGGTGTCAGCCATGTCATCAACAAGGATAGCCACTCGATCCTTCACATCTCCTACTAGTACCATGCGGTCTACTTCATTGGCCTTCTTCCGCTCTTTGTGAATCAAGGCAAAGTCCACATTCAACCGGTCTGCAATGGAGGTCACTCTGTAAAACAGGAGATGATCTAAGTTAATTTAAATACACATGTATGAGGCTTTCAACACAGAAGAATTGGCCGGTAGAGCTAGGATAGCATGGTAGAGTGCTTGCCTAGCATGCATGAGGCCCTGGGTTCAAGTCGCCAGTACCACACACACAAAAGAATGGGCGGCTTCCTGGGAGAAGAATACTCCTTGAAACCAAACCATTCCCAGGGCTGGAAGAAAGCATCTCAAAGACAAACACACAAACTGGGTTTTATTTATTAAATCATGCCTTTTATAGGAATGTGTTATTCAATTTGGATAATCATTCATTTTGTCCAGAAAGTAGACAGATACCCTCACCAGTCTTGGTAAACAATATATGATAAAGCACATTACTTTAATGGACTGGCAGCAGAAAATCTCATTAAACTAAATAGGGAGTGCAAAAATTATCCCAATTTCAATTGTGGAAGAAAACTCATGACTGTGGATGGATGCAGTGAGACGTGAATCTGAAGCTGGTAGGAGAAGAGCAGTGCCTGTTCCAATGCTCGTGCCCTCATTTCTTCCCTCTGTGATGGTGGCAAAACATCCACCCAGTCATTGTCAACTGTACCTGAACACCAAGCTGGGGAATTTCTTTTATGAATGCTAGAAAGAAAGTGATACCAGTTAACCAGACAAACTGGGCTTATCTCTATACAGCCAAGGCTATTTCCTAATAAAACACTTCTACAAACCACATATTGAACCACAACTAGAAGGTGGGATAGAAGACAAATCTGTCTGGTGACAAAGTACCACACAGTTCACTCAACCAGAGAGGGAATTAGGGGTAAGTAGCAGCAGGCTATCCCAAGTGATGTGTATCAATGCTGCACTGGGCCATCTTTGTTATGCTTGAAGAAGAAGCTCTGCTTTGGTTCATCATGTCCTATTCCTTTGCTTATGCTATATTAGAGATGGTCTGAACCACTACTCTACACAAATTTGCTCTTTGATGCAAACAAATTGTATCTTGTATTGTCCTTTATTCCTACTTAGGTACCTAATATCAATAGTAAGCAGTTTGCCTAGAATGATTATCCAAAGTAAATGAGTATCAACTTATCTCAAGTATCCCTGACTGTGCTCAGTAGCCAATGGTCACCATCAAAGCAGAAAAGACAGTCAATGAAGTATGGCTGTGCAGCTTACAATCATGCAAGGATCCTTACCTACTCCTGACAACCTGCCAAGACACAAGTAACAGCCACAAGGGCCACTTGAAAAATCCTCAACACTATAAGGCAATCACAATGAAAAACTTATCAAAATCACTAAAGCCATCTGCTAAAGGGAAAGGGAACTTTCTTAGACCAAACTTGAAAGAAATCCTTCTCTATTACTTGAGAAGTGACTATTTCCCAAATCTTCTGGCATGATGTGAACAAAATGCCTAAAAGTTAAGAAACAACTACCAGGGTAGGGATTTTTTTAAAAAAAATATTGTCTCTAGCATTGCAGATGGTAACTAGTGATTACACAGGGTTCATCAAGCTATACATCTGGCTAGATAACAGAATTCAAGTTCTCAGCTTATAAATTACTAAAGAAGCTGTTGAGAAAGTCATTGAGGATTTGAATGACTTTTAGAAAGTTCTGAATTAGCTTTTCCTAATCATCTGTGCTTCGTAGCTTCTTCATTCTATTTTTCCAACAAGAAAAATACATGTAAAATCTGGAACCTGGAATCCTGGCTACTCAACATTCTAAGATCTGGAGGACTGGGGTTCAAAGTCAGCTTAGGCAGCAAAAAGTCCAGATTTCATCTCCAAAGAAATGACCAGCAAAAAGCCAGGATGGAGGCATGGCTCAAATGGCAGAGTACCATCTGAGCAAGTAAGCAAGAGCAATCATTGCCTCAAATTGAAGCCTCCATAGAAACAAAAATCAACAAACACTCTGTGTAATACATTTGTATGCATTATTGAGGACTCCTCCACTAAGAAAATCAAAAGCTGTCAAGCTAGGTCTTAGTGTCTTATATCTATAATCTTAGCTACTCAGGCAGAGATATGAGGATCAAGGTCCAACCAGAGTACACAAATTCAAAAGATTATTATCTCTAATCAGTAAGAAGATGAGAAGTAGAAGTGTGGATAAAGGGAAAAAGCATCAATCTTGAACAGAAAAAGGTAAGCAAGAGCATGATGCCCTGAGTTTTGAGTTTAAGCCTTAGTATAAGCAAAAAAGAAAGAAGACTACTTAGGGAGGCTGAGGCTCAGATCTGAAGATCATGGTTCAGGTTGATCCATTGTAACAGTGAGACAAAGAAGGGGGTAACAATGCTCGATAGGAAATGTACTCATTACCTTACGTAACTGTAACCCCTCTGTACAGTATCTTCAGTATTTAAAAAAAAAATTTTAATATTTTTTTAAAAAGCCAGCCCAGGCAGGAAAGGGCAGGAAAGTCGCTAAGACTCTTGTCTCCAATTAACCACCAGAAAACCGGAAGAGGTGCTGTGACTCAAGGACTAGAACACTAGCCTTGAACTGAGAAGCTAAGGAACAGCACCCAAGTCCTGAGTTCAAGCCCCACAACCGACCAAAAAATTTATAAAAGGAAGAAAAAAATCAAGGGTTTTTACTTTGTATCTTGTGAGCTATAAAGTACTATACCAGCAATATCTGACAATGAATTTGCTTAAAAGTTTAAGGTAGTGGCTTTTAAATTTAAAAAAAAATCACATGGTTAATGATAAGATACAGCAAGCATGAGGCCCTGAGTTTAATCACAAGTAACATCAAAAAATGCCATACTTTCAGGGCGCTGGTGGCTCATGCCTTTAATCCTAGCTACTCAGGAGGCTGAGATCTGAGGATCTGGTCTGAAGCTAGCTGGAAAAGGAAACACTGTGAGGCTCTAATCTCCAATAAACTACTCAAAAAAGCCAGGAGTGGTGTTGTGGTTCAAGTGGTAGAGCATTCCCCTTGAGCAAAAAGATCAGGGACAGCCCCCAGGCCCAGAAGTCAAGCCCTAGAATCACACAACAAAAAAAGCCATACTTGGGCTAGGAAGGTGGCTCAGTGGTAGAGAGCTTGCCTTGCATGCTCAAGGCCCTGGGTTCTATTCCTCAGCACCACATAAGCAAAAAGAAAAAAGCTAGAAGTGGCACTGTGGCTCAAGTGGCAGAGCGTTAGCCTTGAGCTGAAGAGCTGAGGGACAGTGCCCAGGCCCAGAGTTCAGGCCCACGACCAGACCCAAAAAAAGAAAAAAAAAGCCATACTTTACTATCCTCCATGGTTAATTTTTTTTGATCAGTCATGGGGCTTGAACTCTAGGCCTGGGCGCTGTCCCTGAGCTCTTCAGCACAAGGCAAGCACTCTACCACTTTAAAGACAGCACCACATCCAATGTTCTAGTGGTTAATTGGAGATGAGTCTCACAGACTGTCCTGCCCTTCCCTGCCTAGCCTGACTTTGAACTGTGATACTCAGATCTCAGCCTCCTGTGTAGCTATGATTACAGGTGTAAGCTACTGGTAAGCTACTGCTGCCCGGCTGGTTAATGTTTTAATCCCCAGGATCAAATGGTCTAACCAACAGCCTTATAAAAAGTATGTAAAGGCTTGTTTATCTACTAATATGAGGTTCAATAACAGCTACCATTCATTTCCATATCAAATTATCTACCTTTCCATATAGATTTATAGTAGTTAGGTCTATAGTGCCAAGTCAATAACATCACAGTCAAGCCCAGAAGACCATGACTGTTTAGGGCTCCCTTTCTATTTTTTTTTTTTTCAAATAGTAACACAGGTCAGTAAAAGAGTAAATCTGTATGTCCCTACTGGGAATCAGAAGTTCATACAAACTACCACTTGGCTATAAAAAACATCACTTTGTGATATAATCATCTGAACGACTTCTTAGCACCCTAGACTTCTTAGCACCCTGGAAATCACAGTAGTTTGCAGCCATACCTCTTGGCTCCGCCCGCATCAGGTGAAACAATAGTGCAGTTCCTCCATTCAGAGATGTTCTCTCTAATCCACTTCAGGACAGCAGGCTCTGCATACAAATTGTCCACTGGGATATCAAAAAAGCCCTGGAGCAAAAAAATCTGGATCAGTCTGGCTTCCTTTGTTCCTTCTCACAGCTAACAGAAAGTAGTAACTTACGTGGAGACTACCACACTGCAACTTTCAAAGATCTACTCAGAGATGGTCAGCCAAGATCAGCAAAACCATCCTTTAGCCATCCCATGCCTGACCACAGCAACATGAACGAGCCCCTCTGAAGAACAGCCAAGTTCAGCAAAGGCTGTAAAAACTGCCCAGCCAGCATGCACACTCAGGAGTTACTAGTAAATCACTTCTAAATCCTATAGTATATAAACTTGGTGGAAGGTATTTATTACAAATGGCCAAACAGAAGTCAGGAAATGGGTTTTGAGTTTATACAAATTAACTTGTATTAAAGTATCCTTATTCTATAAAATAAGTACAATCCTCTGTACTATATATCTTACTGCATTGTCTTAAGACTTTTAAACAATAAGGCTTTGAACTCTATTAAATAGTGTAAAATAAATGGAGTATTCTACTCCCCTTATTCTGGGTTTCTAAGAAAAAGCACATTCTATAACTTTAAAAAGGCCTCCTGTTCAGAATCCAAGGAAAAAGTGTGGAAAAGTACAGCAGTGGAACACACTGGACATTGATGTACTGATTACCTGCCGCATGTAAATGTAACCCCTCTGTATATCACTTCTATAATAATAATAATAAAGTAAATTCTAAAACACAAGCCTCCTGTTCAACCTCAGACTGTGCCTTAACTATAGAATCATGTAAATTGTGATGCTCATTTGAAAATTTTCTATCAGTTGGAACCTCTAATATAAATGGAACATCTGACAAAGTTTCATGGTCTTTGTTAACAGCTGACCTGGTTAGTCTCTGTACATATGTCAAAGTAACTGTCTTAATCCTTGGAAAAGTACTGCAATGGAGTTTGAGTCTTATTCCATAACTGTAACCCATCTATATATCACCTTGTTAGTAACAATAAAAAAAATAAGAAAGCTGAGTGCTGGTGGCTCACACGTGTAATCCTAGCTACTCAGGAGCCTGAGATCTGAGGATCGCAATTCAAAGCTAGCCCGGGCAGTGAGACTCTTTATCTCCAATAAACCACCAGAAAACCTGAAGTGGTACTGTGGCTCAAGTGGTAGAGCACTAGCCTTGCCTTGAGTTGAAGAGTTGAGTGACAGCACCCAGGCCCATAGTTCAAGCCCCATGACCAACAAAAAAATAAAAAAATGAAAAAGTCTTATTACAGCATGTAAGGTCTTGGTAAAAGCTAATGTCTAGTCAACATGTAGTCAATCTATACTTTCAATCTACACTTCATGTATACTTAAAATGTAGGAAGAAACACTTTAAGTATATATGAATGAAAATGTAAGTTATTGCCCTCAAGCAATTTGATTATATTTTCAACATTAGAATGTTGCAACAGCCCTTATGCTATGGGTGCTAACAGCACACCTTGCATTCTTTTCTAGGTTTATATTAAATAAGGTTAACATTTTTGTTCATATCTAGCTTACTTGAGCTATATATTTGGGCAGTTTTTGGTTCCTCTGAGGTTTTCAGCCCTCAAGCCCCTCAAAGAACTGGGACCACCATGTCTGGCTCTCCTCCCATCTTCCTAATCCCCTATATTTAGCTTCTACTGATACCTGAATCTGAGAAGCATGTAGATCCATGGTGATGATGTGATCTGCACCAGCTACAGACAGCATATTTGCAACCAGCTTGGCTGAGATTGGAGCCCGGCTCTAAATGGAAAGAAAAAAATTGAGGAACACTTCATTTGCTTGAGAAATATTTATTATCTACTCTATTTAAGGAACTGTGCTACAAGGAAATTCATAGAAAGCAATGTGGCACTCTGAGTAAATCATAATCTAGAACAAATATTAAGTGCTATATCTTTACTCCAACTGGACCTATTGCAACAATGAGATGTACAAGTTGTATGACGAAAACGAACTTTACAACTTTGGTGGGGGGGGAGGAGGGTTGGATGGGGGGCGGTGGGCGGGGGGAGGGCGGGCGGGGGAGGGGGGTAGATGGGATGGGAAGGGGAAACAAAGGAGGAGGCTACAATGCTTGATAAGAAATGTACTCATTATCTTGCCCATGTAATTGTAACCCCTCTGTACAGTATTTTCACAATAAAAAAAATTATCTTCCTAACTTTACATACCTAGTTTCAGCCTTTGGGGCCTCCAGAGTTCAATTATTCAAACTCAGTATTTAATAGATAAGCCATTGATCAAGAGGGCGTTTAGGGGGCAGGGAAAGAGCAACATGCTTTTGGAGGTGGCTACTAGGTATGAGGGAGGTGGGATAACAAAGAGAATGAGGATTCATATGATCAAAGTAGATGTTTACAGTATGAAAATAGAACAATGAAGCCTGTTGAAATTATTCTAGGAAAGGGAGAAAGGAAAGTATGACATTGTGAGATTGAATGGAATATATTGTAAACACATGGAAATCAAACAATGAAATCCTCTCCTGTTAACTGATTTTTGCTAATGAAAAATTTTAATAAAACCTTTTAATGCACTTATACTCATACTTGTATAACAAACATCTCACCTGCCAAAGTTCAAAAATGCATCACATGGTACAAGCTGTTTACCTTGTATATTATACTACTGACTCATCTGGAGGTCAACTTTCCAATAACCTCAACTCCCTTCAATAAAGGTAGATTTAAGTACTGCACCCTGTACAACAGCAAAGTCCACTCTCTTTACATTCTCAGAATAAAATTATCTGTCCTTTTCCCTATGTATTCTATGTAAAAATTGGACAAGAATCAGAGTCATTAGATATGTGTTTTATGTACATGCTGCATCCTCTAATATACCAGACATGAAACTTTATGAAGGTCACAATGACGGTCCTGATCTCAAAATAATTTTTTTCTTTTTGTCGGTCATGGGGCTTGAACTCTGGGCCTGGGCAATGTCTCTGAGCTCTTCAGCTAAAGGAGAATGCTCTACCAGTTAGGCCACAGTGCGACTTATGGTTTTCTGGTAGTTAATTGTAAATAAGAGTCTCAAGAACTTTCCTGCCCAGGCTGGCTTTGAACCGTGATCCTTGGATCTCAGCATCCTGAGTAGCTAGGATTACAGGCCTGAGCCACTGGTGCTCCGCTCATAATACTTTTTTTTGGGGGGGGGAAGCAGTCATGGGCCTGAACTCTGGGCCTGGGCGCTGTCCCTCAGCTCTTCAGCTCAAGACTAGTGCTCTACCACTTGAGCCACAGTGCCACTTCCGGCTTTTTTTTTCTGCTTATGTGGTGCTGAGGAATCAAACCCAGGGCCTCATGCATGCAAGGCAAGCGCTCTACCACTGAGCCACCTTCTCAGCCCCCCCCCCCTTTTTTTTCTTATTGGTCATGGGGCTTGAACTCTGGACCTGGGTGCTACTTCTGAGCTCTTCAGTTCAAGCTTGCACTCTACACTTCCAGTTTTCTGGTGGTTAACTGGAGTTAAGATTCTCATGGACTTTCCTGCCTGGCTGGCTCTGAACCATAATCCTCAGAACTCAGACTGAATAGGTCAGATTACAGGTGTGAGTCACTGGCAACTGGCTCATAATGCTTTTGAGAGATCTACTATAGTTGTATTTTGTTCCTTGAGATCTGTTCTCACTGTTGGCCAGGCTGTCCTTGAATTCCTGGGCTCAAAGAATCCTCTGGTCTCAGCTACCAGAGTAACTGGGAATATGTATATAAAGGTACCTGGCTGGGAATTTCCTACAGTTTAAAAAATATATGGGGGAGAGGGGCTGGGGAGGTGGCTCAGTGGTAGAGCGCTTGCCTTGCATGCATGAGGCCCTGGGTTCGATTCCTCAGCACCACATAAGCAGAAAAAAAAGCCGGAAGTGGCACTGTGGCTCAAGTGGTAGAGCGCTAGCCTTGAGCTGAAGAGCTGTAGGACAGTACCCAGGCCCCACAACCGGACCCCCCCAAAAAAATACTTCTAAAAAATATATGGGGTTGGAGGGGTGGCTCAGGTGGTAGAGCACCAGTTAATGAATGAAAAGTAAACCTTAGATTACAGAGTTCTGGTCTCAGAAAATAAAAAGCCAAGCTGTAGTGACATCTGTAATCCTAGCGACTCAGGAGGTTGAGATCTGAGGATCTCAGTTCTAAGCCAGTCCGGGCAGGAAAGTCCCTGAGACTTTTATCTCTAATTAACCATCAGAAAGCCGGAAGTGGTGCTGTGGCTCAAATGGTAGAGCATTCCCCTTAAGCAGAAGAGCACAAGGACAGTGCTTAGACCCAGAATTCAAGCCTCATGAATGACTGAAAAAAATCCTTATAAGGGGGCTGGGAAGGTAGCTCACTGGTAGAGTGCTTGCCTTGCATGCATGAGGCCCTGGGTTCAATTCCTCAGTACCACATAAGCAGAAAAAGCCACAAGTAGTGCTGTGGCTCAAGTGGTAGAGCGCTAGCCTTGAGCTGAAGAGCTGAGGGACAACGCCCAGGCCCAGAGTTCAGGCCCATGACCAACAACAACAAAAAACCTTATGGGGTTGGAGGCATGGGTCAGGTGGTAGAGTCAGCCAATTTGTGAAATTAGGTAACAAGTTTGAGTCCTGGTCTTGACAAAAAAATTATTCAACTCCATAATAATGGTGCTTAGTCTTAGTAATTCCAACAGAAATGGCTAAATAAAAGTCATGAATTTGTTGAATAAAATACAAACATGTTGCTTTATTTAAACTAACCATATGCCTATTGTTTTGAAAATAGGGCAATACCAAAGGAAATATGGTTTTAAAAATATCCAATAGAGAGTTCTTGATTTTTGCCGTTCTCACTGGAGTGAGGTGATATCTCAATGTTGTTTTGATTTGCATTTCTTTTATGGCTAGGGATGTTGAACATTTCTTCATGTGTCTATTGGCCATCCTTCTTTCTTTTTCAGAGAAGTTTCTCTTTAAGTCTTTCGCCCACTTATTTATTGGGCAGTTGTTTCTTTGAGGGATGTGGACAGAAAGGAACCTTAATTCATTGTTGGTGGGAATGTAAACTTGTTCAACCACTTTGGAAAGCAGTATGGAGGTTCCTCAAAAGACTCCACATAGAGCTCCCCTATGACCCAGCAATCCCACTTTTGGGCATTTACCCTAATGTTTACAAACAAGACCACACTAAAGCTACCAGCACAACTATGTTTATTGCAGCATTATTTACCATAGCTAAGATATGGAACCAACCCAGATGCCCCTCAGTAGATGAATGGATCAAGAAAATGTGGTATATATACACAATGGAATTCTATGCCTCCATCAGAAAGAATGACATTGCCCCATTTGTTAGGAAATGGAAAAACTTGGAAAAAATTATATTAAGTGAAGTAAGCCAGGCCCAAAGAAACGTAGGTCCCATGGTTTCCCTTATTTGTAATATCTAGTATATGTATGAGTCAAGCGGAAAAGGTCAGATAATGTGATGTCAGGAAAATGAACCCTTAGATGTGTATTTTAATGTTTTTTTCTTTCATGCATGTGTTTCTAACACATTTATAAGATTATCTCTTTGTTGCTTTGTATGTCCCTCCCCCACAGTATAACCCTTGCTTTCACTATATTTGATGTCAGTATAACTTGTGGAGGAGATGGGGAAAAACCAGTTGTTTAAGGATACAGGTGGACCTGTTGCAACAATGAGAAGTACAAGTTGTCATGTCCAAAACGAACTTTACAATGTTGGTGGGGGGGGGGGCTGGGGGGAGGGAGGAAGGAGAAGGATTGGGATTAGGGGGGGAGGGGGGAGGCTGGGAAGGGATGTGAAGGATAAACAAAGGAGGAGGCTGCAATGCTTGGTAAGAAATGTACACATTATCCTGCCCATGTAACTGTAACTCCTCTGTACAGTATGTTCACAAATAAAATTAAATTAAATTAAAAAAAAAAAAAATATCCAATAGAGAGCTGGGAAGGTGGCTCAGTGGTAAAGTGCTTGTTTGCATGCATAAAGCCCTGGGTTCGATTCCTCAGCACCACATAAGCAGAAAAAGCTGGAAGTAGAGCTGTGGCTAAAGTAGTAGAGCACTAGCCTTGACTGAAGAGCTGAGGGACAGCATCCAGGCCCAGAGTTCAGGCCCCACGAATGAATGAATGAATAAATAAATAAATCCATATCCAATAGAAGTTGGATAGAGGACTGATGAGAAGTGAGGTTGATCAGAATACATTGTACACATATGGAAATTATAGACCTTTCCTGTGTACAGCTAATGGATGGTAATAAAAATAAACAAATAGCCCGGTGCCGGTGGCTCAAGCCTATAATTCTAGCTACTCAGGAGGTTGAGATCTGAGGATGGCGGTTCAAAGCCAGCCCAGGCAAGAAAGTCCGTGAGACTCTTATCTCCAATAAACCACTCAAAAACCAGAAGTGGTACTGTGGCTCAGTTATAGAGTGTTTGCATTGAGCTGAAGAACTCAGGGACAACGCTCAGGCCCAGAGTTCAAGTCCCACAACTGACACAAAAAAGCAAATAACTTCCCCCTAAATATGATAGTTAAAGAATATATTACTAGGGCTGGGAAGGTGGCTCAGTGGTAGAGCGCTTGCCTTGCATGCCTGAGGCTCTGGGTTCGATTCCTCAGCACCACATAAGCATAAAGAAAAAAGCCGGAAGTGGCGCTGTGGCTCAAGTGGTAGAGCGCTAGCCTTGAGCTGAAGAGCTGAGGGACAGAGCTCAGGCTCAGAGTTCAGGCCCCACGACCGGACCCAAAAAAGAAAAAAAAAGAATAAAAAGGAAAAAAAAAGAATATATTACTATATAATACTCCTCCTTTCACTGCTTAAGAATATGCTGAGCATCAGTGGCTCATGCCTGCAATCCTAGCTACTGAGGAGGTTTATAACTGAGGATCATGGTTTAAAGTCAGTTGGGCAAGAAATCCACAAGACTCTTATCTCCCAATTAACCACCAAAAAGCTGGAAGTGGTGCGGTGGCTCAAGTGGTAGAATGCTAGCTTTGTGCACAAGTGTTCAGGGACAGCGCCCAGGCCTTTAGTTCAATTCTGCAGGACTACACAAAAAAATCATAAAATAATCTGGATTCAAGGTATAGTTCAGTGGTAAAGCAGTTGCCTAGCATAAAAAGCTCTGGGTTCAATCATCAGCATCAAACAAAGGAAAAAAAGATTCTGCTCCTACCTTATCCTTCTTATCCTGCCGAGCATATGGAAAGCATGGGATGACTGCAGTAACTCGGCTGGCTGAAGCAATCTTACAGGCATTAATCATGATCAAAAGCTCCATTAGATTGTCATTAATTTCACCACAACCACTCTGAACAATGTAGACATCTTCTCCACGTACACTTTCACCAATTTCCACACTAAAATAAACAAAAACACCATAAGAAAATATTTTTTGAGAACTATATTGTAAAGAAAGTCTAAAAACCATAGCTTCTCTACAAGTATGTTGTGGATGGGCCCCTCATGCTTTATGAGTTCTTCTGAGGGAGCGCCTATACCAGAAGCAGCTTACAAACTCTATACACGTGACATGGCATGAAAAAGGTTGGCTGACTTTACTCTGAAGTATACAAATAATTGGACCATAATTTCAGGAAGTGACCATATGTTAACAACACACATCTGATACATCACCTGAGATTGTTACATAATTCATATATTGTGAAAGTAGGAATACAATAAGTAATGAATCACCAGTTATAAACTTCATAGGAAGTTAGACTAATTACAGAGTAGGGCTATAATTTACCATATAATGAAAAGTTTCAATACCCATACTTGGGTCTGGTACATAGAAAAACTTGGACTCTAAATAAAAATCATTAGCAATGTAGCTCAATGGCAGAGTACTTGCCTAGCAAATGCAAGCCCTATGTTCAATCCTTAACACAAAAAGGGGAGTAGGGGCTGGATTTTTTAAAGAAATTACCACAGTAATATCACACAGCAGCACCATTTTCCCAATAAATCCTGTAGGTGTGGCAGAGAGTAGGGGGACGAGGTCTATAGCAAAGCAATAGAGCAGAATGGTCAAAAATTCTTACTAAGCAACAGAAAAACTTACTCTATAAAAAGGCAACAGTTATTAAAAGATCTATTCTTGTCTCCCTCTTGCATGGCTTCAGAAACTACTCAGTAGGCTGGGAATGTGGCTTAGTGGTAGAGTGCTTGCTTGGCATGCATGAAGCCCTGGGTTCAACTCCTCAGTGCCACAAAAACAGAAAAAGCCAGAAGTCGCACTGTGGCTCAAGTGGTACAGTGCCCAAGTCTTGAGTTCAAGCCTCAGGACTGGAAAAAAGAAAACTACTCACTATATATAAATATGCTTTATCAAGATCACTGTTACCCTACACCTCTCCCAAACAAAGAGCAACCTCTGGTAAAATCAGCAGAGGTAAGGTAGGCATATAACTTGGCTACAAAACACTTGCCTAACACGTATTAAGGAGGTAGGCCTTGGGATCTATCCCCAGCACCATGCAAAAACAAAATAAATAGGGAAAAAAATAAAATCAGAAAACATTAAAACAGAAAATAAGGTTCCTGGCAAGAAAAGAAAACCTATTTGTTTAAGGTATCTAAGGATAAACCTTCCTTAGTCATTGAATGCAGAAAAATATTTTATCTTATGGTCCTTATACTTGATGTGAATTATTCACTCAAGTCACTAAGTTCTTGCCAAGTGGTGGCGCATGGTCCAGTAATCCCAGCACTTGGAGCCTGAAGCAGGAAGATGGCAAGTTTGGGGCTATATAGGAGGACTCTGTCTCAAACAAAAAGAAAAAAAGTCAGCCAGATGCTAGTGGTGCTTACCTACAATCCTAGGTACTCAGGAGGGGAAGATCTGAGAATCATGGTTTAAAGCCAGCCTGGAGCCGGGCGCTGGTGGCTCACGCCTGTAATCCTAGCTACTCAGGAGGCTGAGATCTGAGGATCTCGGTTCAAAGCCAGCCCGGGGCAGGAGAGACCGTGAGACTCCTATCTCCATAAACCATCAGAAAACCGGAAGTGGCGCTGTAGCTCAAGTGGTAGAGCGCTCGCCTTGAGCTGAAGAGCTGAGGGACAGCGCCCAGGCCCAGAGTTCAAGCCTCACGACTGACAAAAAAAAAAAAAAAGAAAAAAAAAAAGCCAGCCTGGGCAGGAAAGTCTATGACACACTAATCTTCAATTAACTACAAAAAATAAAAAGCCGAAAGTGGAACTATCGCTCAAATGGTAGAGTACCAGTTTTGAGCAAAAAATCTCGGGGACAGTTCCCAGACTCTGAGTTCAAGCCCCAGGATGGGCACAAAGAGAGAGACAGAGAGAGAGTTAGACACAGAGATAGACAGAAACAGAGAGAGACAGAAACAGAGGGGGGGGAGAGGGAGGGAGGGAAGGAGGGAGGAGGAGAGGGAGAACCTAAGTACTTGTCTTGATCACTAGAAAAAAAAACAAAATAAACAAGCAAGCAAAAGAAGAAAATAACCATAGAACTCAAATCAATAGAACTGAAACAGGAAAACAGAAAAAAAAAATCAATGAAACAAAAAGCCAGCTCATGGAGGGGTTGCTATACCTGGAAGAGTAAGTGACAGCTTTAGTAGAGAGCTCTGCGAAGAAATAATGCTAACTTTCTATAATCTTTTCCAGAGAACAGTAGAGGAACATTTCCAACACATTTTAAGAGCTACTACTCAAGGACACTAAAATGAGACAAATATAAAAGAAAATCACAGTGGTAGGAGGAGAGGTGGGTGTGGCTACCACATGGAACAGGATATATCTATTCAGGGACAGGGCCATTTTGTACTATTAATTATTACCAATGTCAATATGCTGGTTGCATTATACCTGTTTTACCATGAAATGATAAATAGAAAAACTTTACAATGGGAAGTTTGGGCAAACAATACTAAACTGTTCTTGCTCTGTATTATTTCTTACAACTACATGTAAATCTATGGTTATCTCAATAAACAACTCTTTTGTGGCAGAGGCTTGAACTCAGGACCTGAGTGCTGTCCCTGAGCTTCTTTTCACTCACAGCTAGGCCTTTACCACTTGAGCCACAGCTCTTCTTCAGGCTTTTCTTTTAGTAATTTATTGGACATAAAGCTGGGGTGCCGGTGGCTCATGCCTGTAATCCTAGCTACAAAGGAAACTGAGATCTGAGGATCACGGTTCAAAGCCAGCTCAGGCAGGAAAGTTCATTAAGACTCTAATCTCCAATTAATCACCAGAAAACTGGAAGTGGCACTGTGGCTCAAGTGGTAGAGTGCTAGCCTTGAGCAAAGAGGCGAAAACTTTACTGGCTGGGAATGTGGCTCAAGGGTGGAGTGCTCACCTCAAATGCATGAAGTTCGATTCCTTAGTACCACATAAACAGAAAAAGTTGGAAGTGGCTCTGTAGCTCATGGTAGAGTGCTTGCTTTGCATGCATGAGGCCTGGGTTCGATTCCTCAGCACCACAAAAGCAGAAAAAGCCTAAGTGGTGCTGTGGCTCAAGTGGTAGAGCACTAACCTTGAGCTGGAAGAGCTGAGGGACAGCACCCAGGTCAAGAGTTCAAGCCCCATGACCCCCCCAAAAAAAAGAAATTTTGTCAATATTGAGAATAGACAAAATTTTACTATGTCTAAAAATTTTTTAAATCAAATTAGGATCTCATACTAGCAAAAATTTAAAAGAACAATAACTCTAATCATAAAATAATATTTCTCAAAATGAACTCCAGGAAATAGGGGAAAAATAAAACTTAGAACAAAATTTCTAGACAGACAAGTTAACTTCTGAATTTTAGTTCCATTCTCTTGCATTTCACATGGGGCTTGGATGGCTCATGTTTGTAATTGTAGCTATTCAGGAAGCTGAGATCTCTGGATCAAAGTTCAAAGCATGTGAGATTCTTACTTCCAATTAATTACCAAACAAGGAGGAGGTAGAGCTCTGGTTCAAATGGTAGAGTTCAAACACTGAATTTGAACAAAAGATCTCATTATCTAAAATTATGATGTAATTGGAGGTGTGATTCAAGCTCTACAGTGCTTGCCCAGCTAGTATACCATGTGCAAGGGTCTGAACACCACCAATAAATATAATTATGACCTAACCTCAGTGGCTCATGCCTGTAAATAATAGCTACTTAGGAGGCTAAGACCTGGAAGATCCATGTTTGAAGCCAGCCTGGGCAGAAAAGTTTATGAGACTACATCTCCAATTAACCAGCTGGAGTTGTGGCTAAAATAGCAGAATGCCAGCTATGGAGCAAAATAGCACAGCAAAAGCACGGGGCGGGGGGGGGGGGGGGGGGGGGGGGGGGGCGGGGGGGGGGGGGTTGGGGGCGGGGGCTGGAGTTCAATCCCTGGTACCAGCAAAAAACTGAACAGTCCCCGATAGTCTCTCCAATAAACTATAGAATCAAAAAGCTTGAAGCAGAGCTGTGGCTCAGATGGTAGAGTGGTTGCCTTGAGCAAAAGCTCAAGCAGAGCCTAGGCCCTGATTACACCCCAGGACCTGGCCAAAACAAAATCAATAAACAAAACAAAAAAGAGAACTCTTTAAACATTTTACATTTTCTACAATATTTAAACATAAATATAAACGTCTGGGAGGCCTATAATCCTAGCTACTCAGGAAGTTGAGATTCTGAGGATTGCAGTTCAAAGCCAACCTGAGCAGGAAAGTCTGTGAGACTCTTATCTCCAATCAACTACCTTAACCAGAAGTTGTGCTGAGGCTCAGTAGTAGAGCACTAGCCTTGAGCTGAACAGCTTAGGTATAGCATTCAGGCCCTGAGTTCAAGCCCCATGACCAAAAAAATAAAAACAAAACAAAAAACATAAATCTCTGGGGGGTCATAAACCAAAAGGTGAGCCGGGGTCTGGTGGCTCATGTCTGTAATTCTAGCTATTCAGGAGGCTGAGATCTGAAGATCACAACTCAAAGGAAATCCAGGTAGTAAGTCCGTGGAACTCTTTTTAAATAATTTTTTGTAAAGGTGATGAACAGAGGGTGTTACAGTTACATAAGTAACGAGTTCCCTTTTTAAACAATGTTACCCTCTCCCTTATTTTCTCCCACTTACCACTCCCCTCCCCCCAGACTATAAAGTTCATTTTCAACTTAGTATCTAGTATCATTGTTGCATTAGTTCATCCCTTGTCCTCCTGTCTCTGTGATTCCCTTTCCCTTCCATGGATCAGATAAGCTTATATACAAGAGAAAGGATACAGAAAACTAAAACAAAGAAAAAATACAAATAATTGCATAGAGGACATAGTAAGAACCTATTCCCAACTCTTGGAGTTCATGTTGATATGCTTCATTATATATGGTCCTATGCACTTAGCAATTGGGCTATTGTGATCCCCTGCTAAGAATAGACACATTCTAGTTATTATAAATGAGGGAAACCATGCAACCTATATTTTTTTTGTTGTTGTTGGTCGTGGGGCTTGCACTCTGGGCCTGGGTGCTGTCCCTCAGCTCTTCAGCTCAAGGCGAGCTCTCTACCACTTGAGCTACAGCGTCACTTCCGGTTTTCTGGTGGTTTATTGGAGATAGGAGTCTCACGGTCTCTCCCGCCCGGGCTGGCTTTGAACCGCGATCCTCAGATCTCAGCCTCCTGAGTAGCTAGGATTACAGGCGTGAGGCACCAGCGCCCGGCTAGCAACCTATATTTTTTTATCTCCAATAAACTACTCAGAAAAACCTGAAGTGACACTGTGGCTCAAGGGGTAGAGCTCTACCCTTGAACAAAAGTAGCTCTCAGGGCTGGGATGTAGCTCAGTGTCAATGCACTTGCCTAGCAAGTGCAATGTCCTGGGTTCGATCCCCAGTACCAAAAAGGAAAAGACAAAACAAATACAGTTAAAAAAAAAAAAAAAAAAAGAAGAAGAAGCAGCTCTCAGACAGTGCTCAGGCCAAGTTCAAACCCCAGAACCAGAAAATAAAAAAGAATAAAGTGAACAATTTATCTTGGGTAGTGGAATTAGAAGGGTGATTTTTTTCCCAGTCGTGGGCCTTGAACTCTGGGCCTGGGTCCTGTCCCTCAGCTCTTCAGCACAAGACAAGCGTTCTACCACTTGAGCCACAGCGCCACTTCTGTTTATGGGTGGTTTATTGGAGATAAGAGTCTCATGGACTTTCCTGCACAGGCTGGCTTTGAACCACGATCCTCAGATCTCAGCTTCCTAAGTAGCTAGGATTATAGGTGTGAAACACCACCCCCTACAAGTCTGATTTTTTTCCCCATATTTTCCACAATACCATTACCACTCCTACCCCTCCTTGCCAGCACTAATTGTTGTACTTAATTATGTATTAAGCAGTGTTCTAGGAACGTTACTCCTATCTCATTCAATCCTGATGATAACTATAGATAGGTAGATTTTAGGTGGATACAGCTTTATAGATGAGATTATCACAATATAAAAAACGTTTTAAAAAAAGGGGGCTAGGAAGGTGGCTCAGTGGTAGAGGACTTGCCTTGCATGCCTGAGGCCCTGGGTTCGATGATTCCTCAACACCACATAAGCAAAAAGAAAAAAGCCAGAAGTGGCGCCGTGTCTCAAGTGGTAGAGCACTAGCCTTGAGCTAAAGAGCTGAGGGACAGCGCCCAGGCCCAGAGTTCAGGCCCCACAACTGGACCCAAAAAATAAAATAAAATAAAATCATTTTAAAAATCACATTCAGATTCTCATTTCAGCACTTTATTTTTTTGAGGAAGCATCTGTTTGCTTCCTAGTCTGGCCTAAACCTCAAGATCCTCCTAAATCAGCTTCAGAAGTACTAGGTCCAGCATCTTCTAATACATCTATATGTATGAGTACATATACAATGAATTTCCTGGGTTAATGTTTATTTCTTAAATAACTACAGCCAAGTAGGATCATGACTTCGGAAGATCAGCTACTCAAACCAGAGGTTCTGCTAAATTAAGTCAATAGCAAAAATGTTTCACTTAGGATGGGCTCTGCAACTCTCTATCTGATGAATCACCCATTCACTGAATACCATGATGTGCTCTATGACTTTTCAGATTTGATGAGTTACAGGGACAGACAGTAAAATTCCTGCAGCTTAGAAAAAAGAGTGTGTGTGTGTGATGGTCCTAGGACTTGAAATCAAGGCCTGTGTGCCATAAGGGTAGCAGTCTACCACTTGAGCCACAGCTCCAGCTCTGGTTTTTGGTGGTTAATTTTTTTTTATTTTGGTTGGTCATGGGGCTTGAACTCTGGGCTTGGGCGCTGTCCCTGCACTCTTCAGCTCAAGGCGAGTGCTCTACGGCTTGAGCCACAGCACCACTTCTGGTTTTTGAGTGGTTTATTGGAGGTAAGAGTCTCACAGACTTTCCTGCCTAGGCTGGCTTTGAACTGAGATCCTCAGATCTCAGCCTCCTGAGTAGCTAGGATTACAAGCATGAGCCACGGGCGCCCAGCTAGCAGATGAGAATTTTAGAAATATTCTTGCCCAAGCTGCATTCGAACTGTGACCCTCATACATCAGCCTCCTGAGTAGGTTAGGATTAAAAGCATGAACCATCCGCACAGGGCTGAAAATGTAGGTTTTATATAGTTTTATATAGATTCAGAACATCTATAGAGCCAAATAGCTATTTAAGCTAGAAACAAGAAAATTAGCCAGTTAGCAATTATACATGTTCGGATTAATTAAAATAAATCGAGAATATTAAATTGCTTTCCAAAAATGTAGCTTCAGGTTTTGTCTGGTATGTAGCACTACAGAGGGCAGAAGGATTAACACATGGAGAAAATAGTCTTCATATTTTCCCTGAAACCATTGGAAAAGGATTTAATAACCACGGGAGCCAAAGAAACCTTGGAAAGAAAATATTGTTCTTAGATTTTTCATCCTTCTAGAACAGTGAGCCAAATAAACTTTTATTGCTTATAAAAAACAAACAAACCATTCTTGTCCCCTAGATATGCTGCCACTCAAAGTCTAGTCCCATTTCTTCTTTATTAAGGTCCAGGGAAGCATAATGGTGTGGTCAAAGTTCTAACAGCAGCTTGCAAGCCTGTTAGGCTAAGGGATTGCCTGGTTACAGATGTTATCAGTGTTTGCACCATCATTTACATCACAATCAGCAGCTCACTATTCCTGAAGGATATCCATTACAGATGAATACTTCTATAGGCCTTTAAAACCCTAAGGAAATCAGCTTAAAGAAGAAAAAAAAAGAGCAAAAATATTTCTAAAAATGTTTGAAGTAATTTTACCTAATTGAACTGATCATTAAGCAAAAGATTCCCTAACTGATTAATACTGGGTTGTGGTTTGATTTGATCAACCAGGTACCGACAAAACACAAAGTACATCCATCAGAAGCAGAATAGTCCAGTTTTAGCAGAAAGGTGCCTGGGAACAAACAAGGTAATCAAGTAATCTCTCAGATATTGAAATGAGAGGATGGATGTGGGGAGGGGGAGCAAATGGCAAAGCTCTGAATAAAAGTTAAATTACAACGCACTGTTCCATAAGAACCTGTCGTTATTTTTAACATTCAGATATAAGGGTTCTCTCGCAAAGTCTCCCGCGCCCCCCACCCCCCCGAATTGGATAAAATGGTGTTCCTGAAAACTTGCTGATGTGGTATTGTAGCAATAGCTACATTGGAGAAGGACAAGGGGTCTATTTCTTAACTGAGGTTCCCTAAGTGTTTCGGTATGAGTCGAGATGGAATGCAGATTATCAAGGAAGGGTGCAGTTAGTGCATCAGTTTATTATCCGATTAAATAGACTTAAAGATGGATTGGATTATACGGTAGATGATTCTAAAAATGTGAATAACCAATACTTGTCAATCTAAGGGACATCATCGGTACTATTTTCTGCGCCTTCAGTACCTATCCTTAGTTTCACTCAATACCGAGCCCGACTGATACGATTTCGAATTGGCAAACTGATTCTCAAACTTCTAGAAAAGACTATCGGGGGTAAGAACGCAGTAGGCTCCCGATGTATACTAAGTCTATGAGTGGAAGCGAACCCAGTCTCGTGGGTGGCGATTCAACCGGGAAGCGACAAGCCACGTGTCCCCATGGCTGAGGCTAAGCCTGTCTTCCCTCCTCTCCCCTGGCTCACGGCAGCCACCATCCCCGCATTGGGTGTCTCCCCATTTGCCTTCAAATCTAACAGCTTAACCTCAAAACTCCATCTTGACACCACCCCGCCCACCGCACCCTGAAAACGAACGTGACCCCCACCCCCACCCCCGGCGAAAGATAAAATAACGGAAACGGCGCGCCGAGCGCTCACGCCAGGGGTTACCGCTGTTACCCCCTGCCCGAGTTCCCCGGAACTCACGCGGCTGCCCCATGCCCCAGTCCCCATGTACACCGCAACCCCCGCGGCTGGGGCAGGTGAGGTCTGATGAGGATCTAAATTTTGTCCTTACCATGTCTCCTGATTGCTGAATTTCTTAGTCACCACCTTGCCTAGCTCCAGGCCCAGGCGGTCAGCAATTTTCTGAGATAAGTCTTGGTGGGAGCTACCGCTGAAGATTTTTATATTCGGCATCTTGGACAGGTATCCTAGGCGTTCTTCCCTCAGAGGCCACGGATGCTGCTGAGACCAGAAGTGAAGTCTGCACAGACACTTTATACTAGCAGCCTCGCGGTGCTACTCCGCCATCTTGCATTCCCGCCCTGCGCGCGCCTCCAAATTACCCAGCGCTGTAGGGCGGGACCAATTGGGAAGTCCACACCCTACCAGCTCTGATTAGCGGAGTAGGGAGTGGGGGCGGAGTCTCTGTGGTTTCGCCTCTCTTCAGTTAGCACTGGTATTAGCCGGAGGCTAGAGCGGGGATGAGGTTTAGAAATAGTCCCGCCTCCCGTTGCTTGGCAGTTGGGAGAGGGAGCTAAAAGAAATGAGAGGTTTCACAGGGAATGAAAAGATGTGGGTGGGGAGAGGATGGTGACGCATTGGGACAGATCTTTCCTACACTTTCCTCTTCTTCTTTCTCTTCTTCAGCACAAAAAACTAAATTTGGCTCTGATTTACTCTTTCTCGGTTTTAGGATATGTTTTAGATTTTTTTATTTTAAGATGGCTTATTTGCCTAAACTGGGCATCCTATCCTGCTAGTGGGATTAAGGACCTGTGCCACCATGCTGGGCTTCTGCCTTAGGGTTGCCTTCCCAAAAATTTGTTTCCTTCGATTGAATGTATGGCTAACTGGTAAAGCGCTTTGTAGAACTTCAAGTTGTCATATATGCTGTAGAGAAAAGGCAGGTAAGGATGTGCAATACTATTTCTTGAAAGAACTGAAGAGGAAAAGTAAAAGACCTATATTAACATTAGGAACAAGCTGAGGAAACACCAAGGGTTTGGATAGTCAAAGGCAGCAATATCTAACTTAATTGTGGTGTAGGAAGGAGATGGGTGTGTCCATAGTAAATATCCGTGCAGTAGTGGTGGAGTTACTTACAAATGAAACTATGAGGATTAAGGCTTCAACCCAAGACTAAGGTGTGGACCAGGCAGGACTTTGAAGACTATTTTAGGAATTTATTGCAATATTGGAGATTAAGCCTTGAGCCTCCTCCTGCCGGACAAGCACTCTACTATTTGTTTATTATTTCTTCCTCTTCCTCTTTCTCCTCCTCCTCCTCCTCCTCCTCTTCTTCCTCTTCTTCTTCCTCCTCGTCCTCCTCTTCCTCTTCCTCCACCGCTGCTGCACCTGCTGCTGCTTCTTCTTCTCCTTCTTCTTCTTCTTCCTCCTCCTCCTCCTCTTCCTCTTCTTCTTCCTGCTCCTCCTCCTCCTCCTCTTCGTGCTCCTCCTCCTCCTCTTCCTCCTCCTCTTCTTCCTCCTCCCCCTCCCCCTCCCCCTCCCCCTCCTCCTCCTCCTCCTCCTCCTCCTCCTCCTCCTCCTCCTCCTCCTCCTCCTCCTCCTCCTCCTCTTCTTCTTCTTCTTCTTCTTCTTCTTCTTCTTCTTCTTCTTCTTCTTCTTCTTCTTCTTCTTCTTCTTCTCATTATCATTATTATTTGGTTGTGCAGGTCCAGGGCTCGATCTCTGGGCCTGAGCACTGTCCCTTAGCTCTTGAACTCAAGGTGAGTGCTCTACCACTTCAACCACAGCACCATGTCCAGTTTTCTGGTGGTTTATTGGAAATGAAAGTCTCACTGACTTTCCTGCCCCGGCTGGCTTTGAACTTCAGTCCTCAGAAGTCAGCCTCCTGAGTTGCTAGGATTACAAGTGTGAGCCACTTTTACCCAGGTGTTCTTCTTTAATTTTCTTTTTGGGGGGTCCAGTTGTGGGGCCTGAACTCTGGGCCTGGGCGCTGTCCCTCAGCTCTTCAGCTCAAGGTTAGCGCTCTACCACTTGAGCCGCAGCACCACTTCTGGCTTTTTTCTTTTTGCTTATGTGGGGCTGAGGAATCGAACCCAGGGCCTCATGCATGCAAGGCAAGCGCTCTACCACTGAGCCACCTTCCCAGCCCCTACCCAGGTGTTCTTTACTTATTTAAGAGACAGGGTCTTTGCCTATCTTTCCTAGGCTACCTTGAAGCTTGTGATCATCAAAGAATTTTCATTTTACTAAATAGGGATTTTCAGTGAAGAGTGGCATGAGAATAGATGCAGAGTTGCTGAGAATACATGCAGGAAGCAGAAAGACTTATTAACAATTGGCTTCCTAATTTGTACATTTGTACAGCATAGTTGAATGAACTACCACTGAGAAGCCTGTTTGGGTAAAGGATAAGCTGCAGTAACAAAAAAAACCTCTAAATAGGCCAGGTGCCCATGTCTCATACTTGTAATCCTAGCTATTCAGGAGGCTGAGATCTGAGGATCACAGTTCAAAGCCAGCCAGGGCAGGAAAATCCATGAAACTCTTATCTACAATAAATGACCAGAAAGCCAGAAGTGGCATTGTGGCTCAAGTACTAGAGTGCTAGCCTTGAGCTGAAGAGCTCAGGGACAGTGCCCAGGCCCAGAGATCAAGCCCCATGATAGACAAAAAAAAAAAGACTCTAAGATGTAGCAGCTTAGCTGAGGCAAATTATTTTTTTTTTTTTTGTCAGTCGTGGGGCTTGAACTCTGGGCCTGGGCGCTGTCCCTCAGCTCTTCAGCTCAAAGCGAGCGCTCTACCACTTGAGCTACAGCGCCACTTCCGGTTTTCTGGTGGTTTATTGGAGATAAGAGTCTCAGGGTCTCTCCCGCCCGGGCTGGCTTTGAACCGCGATCCTCAGATCTCAGCCTCCTGAGTAGCTAGGATTACAGGCGTGAGCCACCAGCGCCCGGCTGGCAAATTATTTTTCTTTGCACAACAGGGTAACTAGTCTAGCCTAGCTCCTTGGAAGGTGTTTGTTTTTTGTTTTCTTTTGTTTTGGCCAGTCCTGGGCCTTGAACTCTGGGCCTGAGCACTGTCCCTGAGATCCATTTTGCTCAAGGCTAGTACTCTACCATTGAACTATAGCATCACTTCTGGATTTTTCTGTGATTAATTTGAGATAAGAGTTTCATAGACTTTCCTTCCCCCAGCTAGCTTCAAACTGAGAGCCTCAGATCTTGTCCTACTGAGCAGGTAGTGTTATAAACGTAAGCCACTGTCACCTATCTCGAGTACTTTTGTCATAATGAAAAAAAGCTGAGTCAAAATAGCTAGCAAGATCAGTAGAAAGCCCATGGATTGGGAGACGATCTTCACTAGCCATATGATAGACAAGGGTCTCATATCTAAATATACTTAGAACTCAAAAAATTAAATCCCCCAACAACAAATCCTCAAAGAAACAACTGCCCCATTAATAAGTGGGCTAAAGTCTTCTCTGAAGAGGAAATCAGAATGGCCAATAGACACATAAAGAAATGCTCAACTTCTCTAGCTATAAAAGAAATGCAACTCAAAATAACATTGAGATTCCACCTCACCCCAGTTAGAATGGCTAATTTGTTAGGAAATGGAAAGACTTGGAAAAAATTATATTAAGTGAAGTAAGCCAGACCCAAATATACATAGGTCCCATGGTTTCCCTTATTTGCAATAACTAGTATACATCTAGCATAATCTTACCAGACAATCAGAAAAGGTCAAAAACTATGTAGATATGATATAAGAGATAAGATATAAGATGATGTTAAGGGCTAGGAAGGTGGCTCAGTGGTAGAGTGCTTGCCTTGCATACATGAGACCCTGGGTTCAATTCCTCAGCACCACATAAACAGAAAAAGCCAGAAGTGGTGCTGTGGCTCAAGTGGTAGAGTGCTAGCCTTGAGCTGAAATGCTGAGGGACAGCGCCCAGGCCCAGAGTTCAGGCCCATGACTGACCAAAAAAAAAAAAAAAAAAGATGATGTTAAGCGAAATGAACCCCAAGATAAGACACAAGAGCTTTTATTTTGTGGTTGTTTTTGATGTCCTATGTGATTTTTTTTGTTTCTTTTGTATGTTCTTCCCCCCATGGTTTAGCCCCTGTTTTCACTGTATTTGATTCTGGTACCCTGAATCTTGTATATACATTTTTCTAATTTGAGAGAGGAAGGGAAATAACAAAATGCTGAAATAAGGATACAGGTTGACTCATTGTAACAATGAGATGTACAAGACACTATGTTGAAAACAAACATTACAACTTGGAGGGGGGCAGGGGAAAAGTTGGGGAAGTGGGGAGGGAAGGGATTATGGGTAAAACAGAGGAGGAGGTAACAATGCTCGATAGGAAATGTACTCATTACCTTGCTCATGTAACTGTAACCCTTCTGTACAATATTTTTACAATAAAATATATATTTAAAAAAGCTGAGACATGGGCTGGGAAAGTGGCTCAGTGGTAGAGCGCTTGCCTTGCATGCCTGAGGCCCTGGGTTCGATTCCTCAGCACCACATAAGCAAAAAGAAAAAAGCCAAAAGTGGCGCTGTGGCTCAAGTGGTAGAACGCTAGCCTTGAGCTGAAGAGCTGAGGGACAGCACCCAGGCCCCACACCCCCCCCAAAAAAAACGCTGAGTCACTCAGTACCCTTTGAGAATTTTAGGACCATTTTCAATTGCCTGTCCAAACACTGATCTTTTGAATCCAAAACTGGACCCAATAGATTAAATCTAAATATCCCATTAGTACCCTAAATTAAATAATCTCATCACTTTATGCCAAATGTAAATGCGTGTGGGAACAAAACTGTTTGTTATATTTGTACCTTATTTCTCCCTATAAAGGTAAGTAAAATCAGGATTTGTGGTTATAATTTACTTTGGGTGGTAAGTGGGCTTAGTTCATGTAGATGCTTCTCATCTTGAAAATAGCATTGCTCAAAATTGCATTTAAGACAGGCACCATTGGCATATTCTTATAAGCCTAGCTACTCAGTAGGCTGAGATATGAGGATCACAGTTCAAAGCCAGCTCAAGCAGGGAAGTTCATGAGATTCTTATCTCCAATTAACTGCCAAAAAGCTGGAGTGGATCTGTAGCTAAAGTAGTAGAGTGTTAGCCTTGAATAAAAAGCTCAGGGACAGTGCCCAGGTCCTGAGTTCAAGCTCCTGGACTGGTACAAAAATGCACTTAATAGCCCTAGCCTATAAAACTCATAGCTGAGCAAGAGTAGAGAGCTGGTTGCATTGTGTGGTTGACTAGAAGATGTGGGGCTTGCTAGCCTAGGAAAAGATTTGAATTTGAAATTAATAATGAAGCCCTGGGTTCAGTCTCTAACA